GGCGGGGCGGGCCGCAGCCTCAGTGCTTCCCAGCCCGGCGGCCGGAGGGGTCCGAGGTCCAGAGGTCCTGAGGCAGCCGCGTCCGCGTCTCCCCGCCCCAGGCTTGGGCTGCGGAGTCGGCTCGCGGGAGGCGGGTCGCACCTTAAGAGTAGGGGGCGGGGCCGCCTCGGGCTGGGGGCGGGGCTGTTCCCCATTGGCCGGGGCGGGGCGGACAGAGACCCGCCTTCCCTCTCCGCAGAAAGGGTCATTCCGCGGAGCAGCCAGGTCCTCACCTCGCCACCTCCCGACCAGGCGGGCGGGAAAGATCCCTTCAGGAGTCAAGAGTCCCGCAGCACAGTCTGGTCTGCCACTAGTTTGCAGTATAGCCTTGGGCAGATCCCTGTGTTTCGTGGAAAAAAAAGAGCGACTATTGAGTGAGATCAAGCGTCCCAAATCTGGATGCCTGTAACACACCAGGAAGGTGATAAAAACTCGAGGAATGGACCCCAGAGTCTGTGGAGACCTGGAATGGGGAACCTGGTGTAAGGGTCAGCCCCTATGACCTGTCCCAATCTGCCAGAGTTTTCAGGAGATACTGGAAGTCTGGATTTTTTTTTAGGTGAAATCTCTCAATGTGTTGTTGGTAGTTAATACCAATTTCAAAAACTCCTGGATAGGCCACACACACAGATCCCTTCTGACAGCCTGCAAAGTACAGTCTCCAATGCCAGATCCGAGTCCTGGGGTCCTTTTAGCTATGACAGCTTTCAGGACCTTGAGCATCCCTGGACACCTTCCCCATGTGTTAGATGAAGGGACTGAGACAGGAAAGGGACGTGACCGACTACCCACGGTTTCTGACAGCTTCAAGGCTAGAATGTGCTGGCGGTTGCTAGGCTGAAGTGGGAGGTTGGGTCTCGCCATCAGTAGGTGGCCCTTGATGAGGCAGAAGGGGCAGGGTGCCAGGGGCTGGACCAGTCCAGAAAAATCCCCTGCCTTGGAGGATTCCCGGAAAACGTTTTGCTCCCCTCCCCCCTCTGCACTTGTGGTCAGACTCATGTCTCAGGACCTTTGGGGACCCAACTCCACACCTGACTTTCAGACAGCCCCTGGACACCCACCACTCCCTCCAGCCCATCCTGCAGCCAGGGCCTTTGGCTGGGCCAGCTCGAGTCTCAGGGGGCCTGAAAGCTTGTCCTGGCAGGCTGAGCCACACCAGCTCGGGGGGTGGTGCGTGGATTTTGAAGGACTCAATCACCTCCAGAAGGCAGGATGCTTTCTGTATCCAGTCTCTAACAGGGATAAGCAGGGTCCAGCTGCAATAGCTACCTCCCAAACTTTCCCTGTCAGCTGTTTGCCTCCTCATGATTTCTCCCCCACGGGGCCCCTTCCAGGATGGGCAGGGGTCTGCATCTCATGCTTTTCATGTTATACATGGGTGTGGGATACTCCTTGTGAACTTCTGAACATCCCCTCTTTGGCCAGTGCTGGCCCTCAGGTGTGTTTCATTTGGCCTGTGTGGGAGTTTTTTAAAATTTGAAGCCATTGCCAGCATTAAAAAATCCAGTGGCTTCACATTAAAGAGGGACTTTCCAGCGTACCTTGAACAGGAACTCTCGGCCAGGGCTAAATGGCAGCTACCCTCTCTGACCAGAGCCCAGACTCACAGATTGCCCCAGTCCCCACCACTCCCAGTTGTCTCACAGCAGTCTGCTTAACTCGCTCGATTTCCTGAAGCATTTGAGTTTTGCAGTCAGTACTATGTGACTCCAGTCAGGCTGTCCTTGTGCCTCTGCCCTTGGGCCCTGTGTCCCTTGAGGCCCTCAGGAGGATCCACCCTGATTCTCCTCAAGGAACAGGACTTCCTGAAGCTCTCACCTCTGGGGCCCATACTTGCTGATAGGGAGATCTCACCTGTCTCAAGGGTCCATCCCTCACCCCTATCTTGTGCCTGGACTCACACAGGCCATGCTCCTATCCATCCAGTTCAAGGGCAGTTTCCAGGAGACCCCCTTCCCAGTTTGTCCATCCTTTCCTCATATGGCTTCAAAGCACCCCCCCTTAGAACCTGCTTCTAAGGGAGCAAGGGAGTAGGGGCAGGGCTTGGTCCGAGGGGGTCCCCACTGCCCAGCCTGGATGACAGGCACAGATCCAGGGGACCTGGTCTACTTTGGACCCATGGCAGGATGTCTAGGTGGTGGGTCTGAGTGGGAGGGATGCACTGGCAGGGGAACCAGAGGAAGTCTCTTGAAGCAGCTTTTCCTAACAGGCACACACAGTGGTACTTCCCGTGCTAATTGCAGCAGTATCCGGCAAGCTGATGGAATTAACAGGGGCTGACTCCTCCCCGACCTGACCCACCTGATATCACATTGTTCTGCATCTTCTGGGATGTGGGCTCTAGACCTCCCATGGCTTTGAGACCCCTAGACTCAGGTCAGAGCACTTCCCAGTGGCAGGCCCAGAGGCCAGCCCTCCCCACCACCATGCCATGGCAGCAGGAGAGGTGCCTATGCCAGCTCTCACCACCCCTGGCCCTGCGCCAGGTCAAAGCTTGGTTCTTCATTCCAGACCCAGACCTGGCTTGGCTCTCTTTACGAGGCCTGGGGTCAGGCCCGGGCCAGCTCTTGGCCAACCCTTGGGGCTGGGTGCCATGACCCCATTTCCTGGCCCGTGGCAGGCAGGATGCTTGGCGGAGCTGCTCAGGTAGTTCTGCCTGAGGCAAGGAAGACTGGCCTGACCTGTCAGAGAGGCTAGCCCTGCCCTCTGTGACTTCCTGTCCCCGCACCCCCAGTGCCTGAGTCAGTGGGCCAGCCAGCTAGGGCTGATGGGGCAGGGGTGCAGGGAGGCCAGGTCCAGCCTCTTCAGGAGGTTGGTTTAGAGCATGAGTGAGCCATCAATACCGTGATGAAACCCACAGGCCCATTCCCCAGTTCTTGCCAAGGCAGAAGCAGGGTAACAGGAGTTCCTTCCCAGCCCACTTGCTCTCAGACCCTTGTTTTCACTCTTCCTGCCTGTCTCCACATGGTGACCTCTACTCAGCACAAATCTGACCCTGTCTCTCTTCACCTAAGATGTGCGATTTTTTCATTGCTCATCCGATAGAGGAAGGCAGAACTCCCCTTCTGATATACTAGGCCCCATTTTGTGTGGCCTCTACTCACCCCATCCTGAGCCTCAGCCCCTTACCCTCACTGCCCAGGTCACCAGCCATGTCATCCACTCCTGTTCCTCCAGCAGGCGGTGTACACAGCGCCTTTGCACATGCTGCTGTTTTTGCCTGGAACACACTCCCCTTGACATGGTTTATTTCTCCTTAATCTTTGTGTCATAAGGAACACCCCTCCCCTGCGGCCAGCCAAAGTCAGTTTCTTCTGCCCCTTGCTATGTGTCCTCAGAGAACTTTTCCTTCATATGTTTATCTGTGGAATTGTCTCTTCCTCCCACACTAGGCCGTGAGCTTCTGAGAACAGAGGTGGGGTCTGTTCACTCATCTTTGGTCATACCTGCAGGTCTTGCTGAGGGCGGGGCACAGACCAGCTCACCAAAGGAATGAATGATTGTGGATGAAAGAGTGAGTGAGTGAAAGCCTGGTCAGAGCTGTGAAAGGACCTGCAACTGGCCCCACTGGATCCAGCGTCAGTGTGGGGGACACCTGGGGTCACAGGCCCACTTTGTACCCCTGCCTGTCCCCTCACCCATAGCAAGCAGTGGTCAGACCAGGTCAAGAGGGGCAGTTCTGAGCCCAGCTCATCCTACCGGGCCCCAGGTAATTAGAGGCTATGTTACTCACAGGTGACCGGCCCAGGGCACTCCAGGAAGCTGTGGAAACACCCGGGTCCCCACCCAGCTTCCCAGTCCACTCTGTGGCTCCCTTCCAGCAGGGTAGGGAGGGGAGGTGGGCAGCTAGCTGGGCAGGGGATGGGGTGGGCTGGGCCCTCTGTTGCCTGGAAGAGGGATGGAGGCAGCTGCCACAGCTGGGTCACTTCTGACCACAGGGACCACAGTGAGGACGGGGTTCTGTTTGAGGGTGAGTGTCAGCGTTGGAATGGGGTTCCTGGCCCACTGGTCCCCAGGGATGTAAGACCAAGACCAGAAGACCAGGAGCAGGAGACAAACAGATCAAGGCACGTGTCCAAGTTCTCCTGGGTGCCCCACTCCCCCCACCTCTGGGCCTGGAAGGCAGTACTTACAGGTCTGGGGGCTGCCAAGGGGCCCTGCTGGGCCTGGGAGGAGAAGGAGGAGTAAGTCCCTGGGCAGTGACTGGCTGTTGGCTGAGGCAGAAACCACAAAGCAACAGAGGCACTGGGGTCTTCCAGCCTGGGCTCTTGCTGCCAGCCTCCGCCCCTCCCCAGGGCCCCACCTCGGGAACAGGGGGTCAGAGAACCAACCTGGAGACCAGGCAAGCACAGCAGCAAAGGAGCCCAGGCTCCCGGCCCCTGACCCAGGCTGGGGCATGGGGCTCAAAGACAGCACTGAGGGGAGTTCTGAGCCTCATGTGCTGTCAAGACACAGGAGCAGGGTAACTGAGGAGACGGCCCCCAAGGGTGCCCGGGCTGACTGTGTTGGGTGGGGATGGAGGGAGTCCCCGGTTCCAGCACCCTGCTTGCCTTCCCGGGCCTGGTAGGCTGGCTGAGGAGGGACCAGGGACAGAGCATATGTGGGGGCTTCCTGGAGCTACTGAGTCTGGGGAGGAGATCAGGGCTAAGCTGCAGAAAGAGGGGGAGGCTTGGCTGTGCCCGGGGTCCTGCACTGTCCTGCAGTGAAGCAGCTGGGCAGACAGAGGACCCTGGGAAAGGAAGAGTGGGACGTGGGGTGTGCTCAGCATGTCAGTAGCACAGGGAGAAGGGATAGAGGGCTGTGGGGGACGAGGCTGCAGGCACCTGGAGGAGCCACGTCGCTCCTGGCCACTGCTGTGCCAGCCTGAGGCCCTATCTGGGGTCATGAGGCTCACAGCCCACAATGGCTGCCTTCATCCCACAACTGGCCCTCTTTCCCCCCAGGTCTCTGATGCCCCTACTGGACCTAGACTCCGGGCTCCTGGTCCTGGCAGGAGAGGTGAGCCCCTACACATGTAGTGTCCCCAGGGCTGGTGCCCTCATTTGCCAGACCGGACCCTGACCTCTGACCTGGCCAGCCAGCTAGGAAAGTGGGGCTTGCAGGTTGCTATCCAGCCCCCAAGAAGGAGGAGCTAGAACAGGGTTGCTTGGGCTCCACCATCATCAGGGGCTCCTGATGTCAAAGGCATGTGGGCCTCTAAGTCTCCATCCATGCAGTCAGGGTGAACGTAACTCTGTAGAACGTCAGCTTCCTGAGAACAAGGCTGAGAACAGAGCAGAGTTTGCACACAAAAGGCACTTTGTAATACTAAATATATACCCCTGGTGCTCACTCTGTGCACAGTGATGATGAACTGGAGGGGCAGAGTCAGCCAAGGGCTCAGCTCAGTGCCCAGCACACGTCAGCACCCAACTGATGTCTGCCATGGCTCTGTGCCTCTGTCCTTGGGGAGGGAGGGGCAGCTGGAGCTAGAGCTGGGCAGCCCAGGCCACCAGCACGGTCAGTCAGGAGCACGTTTTTTGGGCTTGTTTCAGGGCGAGAGTCAGCTGTACTGCTACGAGGTGGCCGCCCAGCAGCCGGCACTGATCCCAGGTAAGTCCTGCTTTTCCGCCCCGTTGCCCCCTCCACTCCCACACCCACCCTGACTGTCCTCCACGGTGTCCCCAACAGTTACCCAGTGCCTCCTGGAGAGCGCACTGCGAGGGGCAGCCCTTGTGCCCCGGCGGGCACTGGCTGTCATGGGCTGCGAGGTGCTCCGAGTCCTGCAGCTGAGTGACACGGCCATCGTGCCCATCAGCTACCACGTGCCCCGCAAGGTAAGGGGTCCTGGGCGAGGGGCTGCGAGGGCCTGGAGGGCCTGGAGGACCCGACCTCACCAGCCATGTGCCTGTTTTCCCCTAGGCTGTGGAGTTCCACGAGGACCTGTTCCCGGACACTGCAGGCTGTGTGCCTGCCTCCGACCCCCATGCCTGGTGGGCTGGGGACAACCAGCAGGTAGGACCAAGGCCTGGCTGACCACTCCCAGCCTCCACCACCGGCAGCACTGCATGCAGTCCAGTTGTGTGCCAACTCAGCTGCCGCATGTCCCCCATCCCCACCCCCCACTCCACCTGCCTTAACTGCTGGCCTCTCCTCACAGGTGCAGAGGGTCAGTCTCCACCCAGCCCGCCGGCCCCACCCCAGCTTCACTTCCTGCCTGGTGCCCCCTGCAGAGCCCACCCCTGATGCAGCCCAGCCTGCAGAGACGCCTGTGGGTGACTCGGACCCCAGCGTGAGTGCCAGCGTGGCCCCCCCAGCCTCCCCATTGTGGGGACCCCAAGTTAGGGCAGGAGTGTGTGGCCTGCTCAATGGTTTCCAGAAACACAAGAAGCATGAGTGAAGAAACTCAGTGTTCTCTAAATTGAGCAGACAGTTAGAAAGGGAGACTATTACATGAAAATCTAGATTTCTAGCTTCCCTTGAAAAATTGTAATCGCTCTGAGCCCAACCTCCCACAAAATCAGAAGCCAGCAGCTGTCACCTGCTGTCCCCTATACTGAAGCTCAGCTGCCCTCTATGTTACCACTGGCCTGTCGGCCTCTGCAACTGCGTCCCCACCCCACGTCCCACAATGGGGCTTCATGCCTGGCCCAATGTCCCAAAGCAGTGGCTCCAGCACCCCCTTTTCTCTTTGGCCAACCACCCCCAACCTCAAAGGTGCTTCTCCACAGGAGGGCTTCTCCTCCCCGCCCAGCTCGCTGACCTCACCCCCCACGCCCTCCAGCCTGGGGCCCTCGCTCTCCAGCACCAGCGGCATTGGCACTAGCCCCAGCCAGAGGTCCCTGCAGAGCCTGCTGGGTAAGCGCATGGTGGGGGACTAACCCCCTGCCACAGAAGCCCCGTTGGTCCCCACCCCAGCCAGCTTCCTCTGTACTGCAGTCCTGCCTCCCCTCCTGGAGGAGCCACTTCCTTGTGAGATAAGGTGAGTCTCCTCTGTAAAAAGATGGCCTAGACATTCTGAGATACCTCCAGTCTCGTTCCCAGGCACCATTCTGGGCGAGTTGTTTTGGCTGGACCAGCAGACGCCCGGGCACACATCCTGCACGATCCTTTCCAGGGAGGAACAGGCAGCCCAGACACAGGGTCCTCCTGCAGGACAGCCCAGGGTAGGCAGGTAGGGCATTCTCACCTCACATGGCCTTGTGTCCCTACTGCCTGCCAGGCCCCAGTTCCAAGTTCCGGCATGCTCAGGGCACTGTCCTGCACCGAGACAGCCACATCACCAACCTCAAGGGGCTCAACCTCACCACGCCTGGCGAGAGCGACGGCTTCTGTGCCAACCGGCTGCGTGTGGCTGTGCCCCTGCTCAGCAGCGGAGGACAGGTGGCCGTGCTCGAGGTGAGGGCCCCCCTCCATATCCCTGCAGGATGCTGAGGGCATCAGGGCCCCCAACAGCTCACATTCTCAAAGCACAAACTGCTTGCCCAGCAACCCCCTCATCCTTCCAGCTGCCCCATGCGGGGTGGGTGTGTGTGTGTGCATGCGTGTGTGCGCCACTCTTATCCCCATTTTACAGATGGGAGCAGTGAGGCACAGAGAGGCTCAGTAACTTAACAGGTCACATGCTGAGTAGGTGGTGGAGCTGGGATTTGAACCCAGGCCACCTGAACCCCAAGCTTGAGCTCTTCCCACCACTCCATGCTGCCCCCCTCACTTTCTGGGGGCCTCACAGTTGGCAATTGGGGCTCAGAGCACGAGGTAGCCGAGGCAGAGAGCTTGGGCCACCCAGTAGTGCGTCATTGGCTGCATAGGGCATGGGCCCAGTCATGCTGCTTACCCTGCAGCCCCTGGGGACCGGGCTCTTCTGCCTGTTTTTGATGGGCCTCGGGGTGGGGACACCTCCTACAGCTGCGGAAGCCTGGCCGTCTGCCGGACACAGCACTGCCCACGCTGCAGAATGGTGCAGCCGTGTCTGATCTGGCCTGGGACCCTTTTGACCCCCATCGCCTTGCCGTGGGTAAGGAAGCTGGGCGCTAGGCTTGAGGGAGGGTCCCGGGATCCTGAGTGGGGGCCAGGGAAGCCTAGGGGCCTTGGGTCCAGCAGTGATGAGCCTGCGCTTTCTGCAGCCGGGGAGGACGCCAGGATCCGGCTGTGGCGGGTGCCCCTAGAGGGCCTGAAGGAGGTGCTCACCATGCCTGAGGCTGTGCTCACAGGTTAGGTGGGCCCAGGTGGTGGCCAAGGGGTGGGCAGTGGCTCCTGAGGGGCTCAGCGTCACCCCATGCCTCACCCCCAGGCCACACAGAGAAGATCTATTCTCTGCGCTTTCACCCGCTGGCAGCTGACGTGCTGGCCTCCTCTTCCTATGACCTCACTGTTCGGATCTGGGACCTTCAGGCTGGAGCCGAGCGGCTGAGACTACAGGGCCACAGGGATCAGGTAGAACAGCTTTAGGGGCAGCCCACCAGGCACGGGGCTATAGGCTGCTTCTCACGTCCCCACCTGCCTCCAGATCTTTGGCCTGGCCTGGAGTCCCAATGGGCAGCAGCTGGCCACTGTCTGCAAGGATGGGCACTTGCGGATCTACGAGCCCCGGAGTGGCCCTGAGCCTCTGCAGGTGAGCAGGGTGGGCTGGGGATGGCCCTCAGACCTGGCGGGCGGCTCAGGGTTGGGCCTCATGTGCTGTATCCCGACAGGAAGGCCCAGGGCCCGAGGGGGCCCGTGGAGCCCGCATTGTCTGGGTGTGTGATGGTCACTGTCTCCTGGTGTCTGGCTTTGACAGGTGAGGACTTGGGGACCACCATTCCCATCCCCGGACTTGAGTAGCCACCTGTGTCCCCTCCCCCACATATACATACACCTGTCAGGCATGCAGAAGCTGTCCCCACCCCTCACTTGGATGGGTGGGTGGGTGCATGGATAGGTGGGTACGAGGGAGGGAGATGGGGAGGAATGCGTCAGCTGGGAGCCCAGTGGGATGAGAGCCATGCCTGCTGCAAGAAGCCCATGCCTGGTGGGGACCAGGTGAAACACACAAAACACAGAACCAAGCCTACTGGAGAGGTCTAATTGATGGACATCTGGGGCTCTGGAAGAAGGATCAGGGAGGCCGCCCAAGAAAAGTGTCATCTGAGCTGAGTCACAAAGGGGCTAGTAACCAGAGATGTGGGGGAGAGGGCGTTCAACTCTGGGTGGAATGACTCCAAGCCTGGCTGGAGTGCAGGGTGTGGAGCAGAAGGTGGGGAGTAAAGACCAGACTTAGCCGTAGTGGCCACAGGGCAGGTGCTGGGGCCAGGAGTGAGAAGGCAGAGGTCAGGGAAGAGGCAGGGCAGCAAGTGATGAGGAGGTTGCATTAGGCCAGGGCGGTGGTTCTGAGGCTGGGTCAGGAAGGAGGGTGGGCAGAGGCCTCTCCCACCTGGCGGCCCTCAGGCCCCTGCCCCACAAGATCAGGGTTCTTGCCCTGCTCTAAGGACCTGCTTCTGCCCGCCTTCCCCCCTCTCCCCTCCACCCCCGTAGTCGAAGTGAGCGTCAGCTACTCCTGTATTCGGCTGAGGCTCTGGCCGGTGGTCCCTTGGCAGTGCTGGGGCTGGATGTGGCTCCCTCGACCCTGCTGCCCTGCTACGACCCGGATACCAGCCTGGTGCTGCTCACAGGCAAGGTGGGTCGGGGTGCACAGGCAGGGGTGTTGGGCAAGTGAGGTTGGGGAGAGGAGCTAGAGCTGGCTACCTCACTGTTGCCATCCCCCCAGGGTGACACCCGCGTGTTCCTGTATGAGCTGCTACCCGAGGCTCCCTTCTTCCTGGAGTGCAACAGCTTCACGTCTCCCGACCCCCATAAGGTGAGCTCCCTGGTCCGCCTTCCCTTGGTGAGACCACGGGCTCCTCGCCCTCTCATGGCCATGTGGGGAAGTGCAGGGGCCTGTGGGGTCAGCCGGTCCCTGGGCTGAGGTGTGCCCAGCAGCCCGCGGGAACTGGTTGTTAAACTCAACCATCATTAAAAATTAAACTATGAAAAGGTTAGGTTTTATGAACCTGCAAATAAGTTACATTAAAGACCAAGCCAATAGATACTTAATTTATCACTTCCTAATTATTTTACTTAATTTTACTATTGTCTGTACTGTTGAGGTTATTTACATGTGCGGGCAGAAATACCATATGGCGGGCTGCTACTGCATGTCTCTTCCCAAATCTGCATTCACCTGGTCACGCTGGTGTGAAATTGACAACGGTGGGAGTTTTCATACCATGGAAATAGGCAAATGCTCCAAGTCAGGATGTTTTTCTCAAAGCTGGTGGTTAAACATCACACCACTGTCCAGGGATAGGCCCTGGTCTGGTGGTCCTAAGTGAGGGGTCCTGGCACCCTGGGGGCCCGGGTGCCCAGCGTGAGCTCTGGACTCCAGCCCCAGCTCAGACTCCCCTGCTACCCCAGGGCTTCATCCTTCTGCCCAAGACAGAGTGCGAAGTACAGGAAGTGGAGTTTGCCCGATGCCTGCGACTTCGCCAGACCTCCCTGGAGCCTGTTGCCTTCCGGCTGCCCCGAGTCAGGGTGAGGCTGGGGCCCCAGCACACCAACACCCAGCCCCATTCCCGGCCCCTGTCAGGGGCTTTGGAGCCTGACTTACCTTGTCACCAAACTGCCCTGCTCACTGCTCTTTGGGTCACCTGTCCTCCTTACTCTGCTGACATTCTGAAACACAAGGAAGCCCCAGATGGGGTCTGGGGTCTTGCCATGCCCCCCCTCCCTATGGATGCCTCTGCCCTGGGTCTCTGGTTGGTTCCTCAGGGCAGCCCCTTCCTCCCTCTCTGCAGAAAGAATTCTTCCAGGATGACGTGTTCCCAGACACAGCCGTGAGCTGGGAGCCGGTGCTCAGTGCTGAGGCCTGGCTGGGAGGTGCTAACGGGCAGCCCCGGCTTCTCAGCCTGCAGCCGCCAAGCATGACTCCAGGTAGGATGGGGTGGGTGTGGCCAATTATGAAGCAGGGGAGTGGGCAGGGGGTAGAGAAAGGGGCAGAAGGCCCAAGTCTGACCCTCCTTTCCTGCTGGCACACAGAAACCTCTAGTGCTCCCAGGGATGAGATGGCTGCACTCTGGGCTCAGTCTGAGGCCCTGGAGTTCAGGGCCCAGGCTCTGTCTTTCCATTACAAGCCCCCAACCGCAACACATATGCACAAGTGCACACTCACACAGCCTGGTGCCCAGGACAGGCCTTGTGAACCAAGGGTGGAGTGGTGTTAATGCCACCTCTAGAGTCTCTGCCACAGAATCCCCTAGGGGCTAGTACCAAAGGGTTGGGCTAGGAGCCCCCCTCACAGGGACTCTGATGCTTGGCGCTTGTTCCTGTCCCGCTGCAGTGAGCCAGGCCCCGCGTGAAGCTCCTGCCCGGCGGGCCCCACCCTCAGCACTCTACTTAGAGGAGAAGTCGGACCAGCAGAAGAAGGAAGAGGTAGGTGTGGGAGAGGGCTAGCTGCTGGGGACACGGGGTCCTGGCTGCACCTGGTGATTGCCCTTCAGTTCTCTAGTCCAACCCAGATTGGGACAGGAGCTGGTGTCACCCACCTCTCAGTTAGACAGCTTAATGGGGAGACATTCCAAAGCCCTGAGCTGACTACAGCTACCCCCAGGACACAGGGCTTGGGAAGCCAGACAAAGGCAGAGAGGGACCCCAACCTGGCCTGGCCCAACCCAACCAGATCCAAGTGCGCTTGGGATCCTGGTGCATATTTGAGCCTCTGAAGCAATATGCAGAGACAGCTGCCCTGTGACTCTGATGCTCCATGTTCCAGTCTCTCTGTCTCTGGCTCCCCCATCTCTGTTGAGATGTCTTTTGTAACAAAAACCATCAACTTTGTTGGGGCTCTTCCACAACCTTTAACCTTGTTCCACATTCTTGAACCCTGTGGTTCAAACCGGGATCTGACATTCTTGGGGTCGCAAGTCTTCTTTCCTTCCGACTTCTTCCCTGCCCACTCTCCCAGCTGCTGAGTGCCATGGTGGCGAAGCTGGGGAACCGGGAGGACCCTCTCCCACAGGATTCCTTCGAAGGTGTGGACGAGGACGAGTGGGTGAGTGCCCAAGTGGGCCGCAGCATCCCATCCATCCCTCCCTCACTCACCTCTGCAGCATGCACCACCCCTTCCCCAGGCCCTCTCAGCTCCCTCCCACATCTTGGTTTATCTCCCCAGGACTAGCCTGCCCACCAGCCACCTCTAGCCTCACCTGCTGCCACCTCCTAGAACCACCTGGTGCCCCTTGTACACCTCACGTCTCACCTTCAAACTGGAAGATGCCTCTTGGCCCTGGCACACCTCATCCTGGAAGCCCTGGCTTCATTTGGGTCTTGGGCACCTCCATGGCCTCTGGGCTGGGCCCTGCTGCAACTCCCATGGATTGTCCGCATCTTTGCTTTTTCTGGGACTGACTGCTTCTCCGCTGCCTGCTAGCATGTGGAGCCAGGGGCGTATGGGTGCGGATGGGGGCTTAGTGGCATGTCCCTGGGCAGGCGCTGGGCTCTCTGTCCCCTCACTCTGACCTGGGCTGGTCCCAGCTTGAGCTGGCTTCGCCCAGCACCTTCAAATATTACATGCCGTCTCATCTTGCCTGCTGTTCCAGTTCCGGTCAAGGGCTTAGGGGGCTGGCCCCCCGCCAGGCCGCTTGGAGCAGCACCAGCCTCAGGGGCCTGGGACCAGTCACTCTGCTCCCCAAGCTTGAAGCCAGGAGGAATATAGGCATCACAGGAGTGATAGCCCAATTGGCAGGGTGGTGTGAGCCCTGCAGGGACCACCAGCCTGCATGTGCCCTTGATGTTTTCAGCAATTAAACTTTTCTAAGCTGGCCACCTCTTGTGCTGTTGTAGTCTCTGGGCTGGCTGGAAGGGGAAGAGGACAGGAGTATGGGTGAGGGTGGTTTGGCCCTGGGCTCCCCTTTGTCCCAGGCCTCATCACTTTGCTCCTGCTGGGAGTTCATTCATTCATCCAACACATTCGTATCCAGCAGGGCTCTGGATGGTAGCTACTGTAATTAACAAGACTTCTCAAGGCGCTGAGTATAGTCTTACAATGCAGTGGGGAGCCAGACCGTGTGCAAATAAGCAAATAGTGTGAGGTGAGCTGTAAAGTAGATAAATTGCGTGAAAGGGCAACTGGGATGTGGGGGGAAACAGTAGTCAGGGTCTGAGAACCAACATTTAAGCTGAGAGCTACGACCTGAAGGCCACGAAGCCATGGAGAGACCCCTGAGAACACCTAAGACAAAAGGAAGGATAGCCTGGGCGCTGAGGGAAGGAAGAATTTGGAGTTGAAGGAAAGGAAAGAAGGCCAGTGATCCAGAGCATAGTACGAGGCAGCCCGACTTTCATTAATTTAACAAATGTTTGTTGAGTGCCTTCTGTACCAGCCACTCTTCCAGGTGCTGATGTCCAGGAATGGAGAAGAGGTGAAAGTCCTGCCCACCAGGAATCCACATTCTAGTAGGAAGGAAGATATAATAAACATAAAAATGAATGAATGATATAATGTAGAATATGATAAGAGCTTTAGAAAAAAAATTAGGAGGGATCAAGAATAGAGGTTTAAACCACGAAAGGCCATCTATAGTATGATTCCCATTTCTGTGAACATCCAGAGCAGACAAATCCAGAGACAGGAGGCCAGTTGGTTGCCAGGGGCTGGGGGTGGAGGAAATGGGCATGGAATTTGTTTTAGGGGGGACGAAGATGTTCTGGAACTAGTGATGGTTGCACAACTATGAATACACTAAAAAGCACTGAACTGTGTGCATTTCAAAAGTGAATTGTATGGTGTGTGAATTCTCTCTCAATAAAGCTGGTATTAGAAAAGCAAAGAAATGGAGCGTTGGTGGGTCAGGGTGGGCCTCCCTGAGAAGGTGACATTTGAACAAAGACTTGGCGGAGGGAGAGAGCCCTCCTTTCCAGACAGAAGGAAGCTGGACTGAAACCTATTTTGAAATTTTCTGTTTTCTTAAATATTTGTGAGAGTTTGGCACCTTACTTCTTACGTTTGTGAGGTGTTGTATGTTTATTGCATATCTTTTAGTCCCAAATATTTTGGCAAAATGAAGAGAATTCTCTGCCCTACCTGTGATCGAGGTTATCTTGCAGCTCCTAGCGCCCCAGGAAAAGCATTGTGACCGCCCATCACCAGCTCCCCTCGGTCTTCGAGCGCCGGAGGCTGACAGGCCCCGCCTCCGGAGGCCACGCCCCAACACCGCCCAGGCCCCATATTTCACCGCCCACACCCCGCCCTCCATGGTTGAGGCAACGCGCATGCCCTGCGCACGCGCTTTTTTGCAGCC